CCCCTCTGACCTTGAAGTTTCTAGTAGATAGATAATGATGTACTTTTGAATGAGGTAATGCATATTTGTCCCTTCTGCTTTGCACGTATCCTGGATGTATATAATGGGGAGGAAAAATAAACTCGTGGCTGGTTGCGAAGAATGCTTCCAGTCCTCCCGGACCCTCTTTGTTTCTTTGTCTCTTTATTTCCTTAAACCTCACCCCCCCACTTCAGGTACTGTTCTCCGGAATGCCGAGGCAGGACCCCGGCAGTGGGGGGACACAGCCTCTGTCAGTGGAACTTTGGGGATCTTCCCTGGGAGAGAAGCTGTGTCCCTCTGGGCCAAGGGCAGGTTCTGGGCCCTTCCTGCGCTCCGGAGGGGGCATCTTGGGGGGTGCGTCTTGGGACTCTCCGTGTAGAACTAGCAGCTCTGGGTCACATAACCCCTTGAGAATTACCAGCCCAGGGCTGTGTTTCAGGCCAGGCTCTACCAGACTGGTGGCTACTTCTCTCTCTGGCCAATTAAGACCTTAATCTTGGAGTCTTCTAAGTGCCTCAGCTGAGCCTCACAGTATCTGAGCAGGTGGCAGAGCACAAGGACTGTGATCCGAGCCCTCAGATAGAAGGGCCCGGGCCCCGCCTCCATCTCCTCCCTGAATGACTGATAGTTCTCAGAAGGAGAACTCTCTTCTCCCCATGCCCTGGCTCACTGTTCAGCCTTTAGGGATCCGCTTGGCAGACACTGCCTCCAGAAAGCCTTCCCTGATTGGCTTTGCTAATGGTGCCTGGATGAGAACAGTGGAGCCCCAGCCAGGGGGTACAGGCGCAGGTGCCCAAGAGTAGAGGGCAGTTGTGGTGTCAGGGGAGGGGGCTTTACCTCCAAGGTAGAGGGGGCTGTTGAGGCCCACTGCCGGCTGCTTCTGGAGTTTTCCCAGGCTCTTGGGGGCTCCTTTATCCACCACGAGGTTCAGGGTCTGGTTTAGCATCACCAGCTCCACGCTGTGAAACTGCCCATCATTCACGGTCTCCACGCTGGGTGCGAAAGAAGAGGGTTTGCTTTGTGCTTTCCACGGCTGGGCTCTGGGCTGTCAGCTTGACTCATGGTACTTGCATTTTGTTTTATTTGCAAATAACTTCAAACTTACACAAGTGGCAAAGATATAAACAGTACAGAGAACACCTGTTAGAGCTACAGAGTCTATCAGCCCCATTTGCTTCATCATTGACTATCCATGAGCTATCTATCTCCACACACGCATGTATATATACATACGTATCTACACACACATGCACAGCTTTCTGAACCATTTAAAGGTAAGGTACATAACATGGTGGCCCTTTATCCCTAGATGCCGCAGTGTGCATTCCCTAAGACAGGGGTTCTCCTACGTAGGCACAGCAGCTCTCAACTTCGGTAAATTTAACATTGACACCATACTTGTATCTAATCAACCTATATTCTAATTTTCCAGTGGGCCCAATAATGTCTTTTATAACATTTTCCCCCCTTCTGGTCTAGGGTATTGCATTTGGTTTTCATTTGTGCACTGTTTTCTAGCATTTCACAGAGTTGAGCCAATTCTATCCTTAGACACAATTTTTGCCCTACTGCACACCACCGGGGCCATTATTGAGTTAACATATTTTGCTTCCATTGCTCCATTTCCTCCCTAAGTATCAGTAGGGATTTAAAGCTAGCATTGCTTTAAGGTATATCATCCACAAAAGTCGAGGTGTAGTGGAGAAAGCAGAGCCCATTCCAGCTGCTTACTCTGGGTGGGACCACGGCCAATCCCAGAAATAGAAGCCCTCTGCTCTCAGCTCATCTGTAAAAAGGAGAGAACCACCTAAAGCATTACTGTGATGGTCAGAGGAGGTTCATAAAAGCACTTTATAGAGTAAGTTACAGGGAAAATGGGAGCAATTATTATTAGTGGTATTTGGAATATTAACAACAATGAGAACCTACCACTGTCTGCCAATCGTGATCCCTGCTCTACTGCCGATCTCTGGGAGGAAGTGACGGCAGTTGGGACATGCCCAGGACCCTCCCAAATCCATCAAGAACCCTCTCTTCTCAGATGTACCCCCCTTAACCCCCCAGGAAGGGTCTGCTGTGAATCACATTGTCCTAGGTGCTAGGAATCAGTGACAAACCGGACAGACAGGGTACCATCACTCACAAAACTCGTATTTCCTTAGTCTTCTAAATCGAACGCCCAACTTATCAACGTAAGGTCTGGTCAAGAGATAGGGTAGCTGCGGTGTGGGGTGGTGGCTAAGAGCCCATTGGGGGATCTAGCTTTGTGACGGGGAGCCAAGAAACCACACGAAGGCAGAGCTGTGTCTATTTCAGTAGCTGCAGCTACTCTAAGTAGTGAGTCAAGGACAAGGCAGAGGCCTGTGATCCTGTAGACCAGCTGGTGATGGTGGGCGGCGAGGGAGGGCTGGTGTGCTGAGACCACAAGCCTCTGACCTTGAGCCCTCACGTTTTCTAAATACACATGCAAAAATATGCCGTCCTGAATGCAAATGAGCTCCCCAGCCCCCAGGTGTGTAACTAGATGCTGGGTGCGGCCACCTGTCAGAGAGGAGGCTGTGGAGAGGCCGCAGCTCTGGGCGCGTGTTTTGGCATTTCCTCCGCCATCAGTATTCAGGGAGTGTGGGGCAGCTGCGCTCCCATTACAGATACACCCCCACAGCGGACACATGCCGGGGACCCCTTCCTGGCCGCTGGCTCCAAGCCCATTCCCGTCTTCCTCCCTGTGCTCCCCCAGCTGGCTCAGGCCCAGGTGTGCCGCCTGGAGGGCGCCTGGCCTGGACACAGTGGTTTGGCAGGAGCCGCAGGAGCAGAGAGGACCCGGTGGCCTCTGACTCCATGGAGGGCTCCCCTCATGTCTACAAGGGAGAGTCCTAGGCAGGTCTCTTCCTCCAGGCATATGCTTCAGCCAGTCCACGCTCAGGGTTGGGGAGCCCTAGTATCACCCTGGGTCCTCCAGCTGAGGGATCTGGGCAAAGTCACATTGCTTGTGGAAGCCCCAGCTGATGCTTCTATACAATGAGGGTGGTGATGGCATTGACCTCACTGGGTTTTAATGGCCAGTGCGGGGCCCCTCATACCCAGCATGTGCTCCGTAAAAGGTAGAAATGATGACCTTGACCCTGACCCGGGGCTTGGAGGAGCTGGGTGTGGCAGGAGGGCCAGGGTCGGGGAGGAAGTTAGGGGACCCTAGAGAAGCCCTTCTACTGACTCTCCCCCTTACAGCTGCCCGGGCTTTGTTTTCTGTCTGCCTCCGCTGGCTCATAACCATCTTAGGGAAGGGCACTCCCTGTGAGCCCCTTTTACAGGGAGGGAACCTAAGTAACTTGACCAAGGTCACACTGCTAGGAAGTGGTGAAACTGAGGTTCAAAGTCAGGGTAACTGACCTTCACTCCCATAACCGAATCCAAACCTTCCATAACCTTGTTGTGCCAGTGAGTGCTCCTGGGCTAACAGGTTGCCGTCTTCCTGGGGCATCTTAACCAGGGTCTCCTAGAAATCAGGCCTCAAGCCGGTGGGTCCCGAGAGAGTTGGGGTGGGCAGCCCTGAAGGCTCTGATTTCTTACCACTGTCTTGCCAATCAGGATGGCTCCATTTCTATTTTTTTTTTTTAACCTTGGCCTTTGGAGCAAAATATCAACAGGGAACACGGCTCTACTGCTACAAAAGAAGAGGAAAAAAAAAAAAAAGGAAAAAACCAAACAAACCACCCAACGAAAACAACCTGCTAACTCTAAAATGATCCTGCTGTGGTTCCAAGCCCCATAATGATTCTCCTGGGGAGATATTCAGGGATTTCAGGGGCGACAGGGGGCTCTGAGCTGCTTCCTCCTTACCACTGGGCCGGCGGAGCCAGCACTGAGTGGGAGATGGAGAACATCCGTGCCAGAGCCAGGCTGGGTGGCGCGTCTGGGACTGGCAGGAGGACAGGCATTGGTCAGAGCGGCCCATCCAGTTCTCTTGTGATAACAACGGTGGGCGTGTGGTGAGCACTTGCCCGACTTTCTCATTTAACCCTAACAACCCCCGCATGGGAGTACAACTTCTCCGTTTTAGAAATAGTAGGTTTAAGGCTCAGAGACTTAAGGCGACCAGCCCAAAGTCTTAAAGTGACCAGTCCAAAGTGGTGGAGGCAGGACTCAAATCCAAGCTCCCAAGCCACAGGACCCTACACGACTGAGGGACCACTAAGTCATTCTAGGTGCTGAGCGCTCACCTGGATGCTGAGCTGTGACCACAAGGTGGCGACAGAGCATCACAGGAACAAAGCGTTCCTGGGCTTTTTTTTTTTTTTTTTTTTTGATTGGGGAATTGGGGAAGGAGAACGGTGTTGGGGAATTGGGAACGAGGAACAGCCAAGTTGTTTTTTTTTTTTTTTTTTTTCAAAGCGGCGGCCTGACACCTCAGCTGGCATTACAGAAACCCCTACTCGTGGCCCGCTCTCTCGGCCTCCCCCTTTGTGCCCCAGCACGTGGCAGAGAAGCTCTGGGTGGGAGCCTGACCTGGGTTTGAATCCTAGCTCTGCCTACTCACTGGCTTGTGTGCCTTTGGGCCAAGGACCTCATCTGACTGAGCATCAGGGTTCTCGAGCCTAAAATAGGAGTGAAGACACTTGCCTGGGCCTGTGGTGAGGATCAAAGGAGACAAAGACCTTGGCAAAGGATGGGACTGTGGTAATTCAGACTCAGGGAGAATGCACTGCAAGCCAGAAAAGGCTCTCGTGGTGTTTGAAAGTGGCCGACATTTAAACACGGAGGTTTGCACAGAGAAACTCTGAATTTCTAGTGTGTCTTGAGAACCCACATTCCCACATGGCAGCATATGCTAGAGCTGAGATCAGCTGTCCCTTAGGACGGTCCCCACCACTCCCTGCTGGACCCTAGCCCGCTTTCCTTCCGTCTGTCACCTTAGCTTCGCAGCCTCGCGTGTAGGAAATCATGCCTAACGCATCTGACAAGTCTGGGGACCTGGGGTTAGTGCAGCCTGTCCCCACACTGGGGCAGGGAGTGGGCTTCTTGGTGTATTTGCCCTGGAGCCTGGAACAGAGCCCGAGGTGCCCTCCTCACCATCTGTGAGTGCTGCTGGGCCAATGAACACTGTCAGGCCCCCGTATGAGGGAAGCCATGAAATCTGGCTGCTCTGGGCCGGCTGCTTGGCCTCTCTCTGGGGGCTGGTCAGCGGGGCCTCAGTGGCCAGAAGTCTGCAGGCTGCCAACTCCCCTGATTAGGCCAGCTTTAGTTTAGTGCCCTGGTCCTGGTTCTGTGGCTGAGGAGGCCAGAGGCCTCCACAAAGGCTGACACTGGGATGGCCTCCTGGCCCTGTCAGCGGCTGGTCAGCCTGGCCTGTGCCCTCCACGAACCCCAACCCCTCCCAGCCCTACAGGAAGCCCAGTTTCTTCTCTGCAAACAGATGGGGCTTGTCAGCCATAGGTCAAACTTCAGCTCAAACATTGCCTCCTCTTCCAGGGAGCCCTCTCTGATATACTCAGCAGGAATGTCTGCCCCTTCTTCAATGTCCCCACAGCATGCGCTGGCGTCGCGGTGACACCTGTCTTATTCTGCCTGTGGGATGGCTGCCTGTTCACATGCCCGTCTGGTTCCCTGGACTGTTTTGTTTAATTCTGTGGCCCCCACACCTCGCCACTAACTCTGCGGCCCCCACACCTGCGAGATGGTTGCTGAGACGGTGAACAGGGTGCTACTGGTCCAGAGCCAGGCCTGCCTCAGGGAAAAGTGTCTGAGGCACAACCATTTTTAATACGGGATTTGTGGAGACTTGGGCACTTGAGGATGGTGTGCTGAAGGGCTTGGTATGAGGCTGTAGGCATGGGCACCCTTCCCTGGGTTCCTCGCACAGATGGGAGGAAGGGCCTGGGGTCTCTCCAAGCCCCCCCCCGCTAACCCTCACCTGACTCCCTGATGAGGGCTGGAGGACATGGCAATCTTCCCAGTTCCCGTTTCATTCCCCTGGCCCTGATTTAGGCGACAGCAGAGTGTTCCAATGTCCTCCAGGCAGCATCACCCCTTTACCACCCCACCCAGAACTAACGTCGGTGTGGGGAGGGCGGGGCTCTGCTGGGGGAGGTCCCCAAGCTCTGGACAGAGCCCGGTGGCCCTGAAGCCTAGCTGCCACCTCCCGTCCTTGACATGCCCACGTGGAGGCTGAATTGGCCAAGCGCTTTCTCAAACCACAACTGTCAACCACACCCCACAGGTATATCTGATATTACCCACCGTGCACAGGGGGCTAAACTGAGGCAGGAGGTTGAATAACTTGTTCAAACTCGATGTGTCTGACACCACAGGCCTGCCCTGGGTTCTCTGTCCCCTCCACCTGGCCCAGGAACACACATTAGGAAGCCCTGCCTGCAGGGAGCTCTGAGGCCACAGCATGAGCTCCTCTGACGTCCACTGTCCCTGACTGTCCTACCTGGCTGGTCTTCTCCGCACCCACCCTCCGAACGGTCCTTCCGTTCGCTGCCTTTGGCTCGTCACTGCTGCCCTCCCAGCCTGTGGGCCCCCCTGCTCTCCCTGCACACACTAATTCTTCCCTTTCTTCAAGACCCACTGCAAACGGCTCCTTCCCCGGGAAGGACGGCACGTGAGCCAGCACTTCCCAGTTCATGCGTCAGCCACCCTGAGGCTCCTTAACACACAGAGGCCCGCCGACCCCAGCGCGCATGGGGTGGGCTCTCAGGTGCATTTCTACCAAGCTCCTAGGTGCCACTGCACTGGGACCGCGCTTCGAGAGCCACTGGTTTCACTAATGGCTGTCACCAGGGTTTGCGGGAGGTGTACTGGGGGCCACCATGAGAGGTGTGAGGCGGGGCAGCTCAGCTCCCTCCAGCACGGCTTTGCTTCTCTGTACATGTCCTTGAGCTCAATATAAAATATAAAAGTTCCGATTGAAGAAAGGATGTAGTGACTGGGGGAAAATAGTCTGAAAATGGCTGCTCTTGACCCAATCTTTATCAAATGTACTCTTGCTTCCAGAGGGGAAGGCCGGCCTCTGGATGTGGGTCTCACCTGCTCTCCTCACCAGCCGTTTAACTTGATTTCAGGTGTAACACAGACAGATAGATATATCTACTAGCAGTCATTTTTGTAACTATTACAAAAATATGTATAACGACAATAACTTTTTACTTTAGTAGTTTAGGATTACTTTTACTGAAAAGTAGACCAAAAGTGTACCATCTCTAAAGTAGCACATCCTTGATTTCACAGATGACATTACTTAAGATAAAGCTAATTTAAGACGGGAGCAGATTCACAGCTGATGTGAGGCAGCGTGTTAAAGTAATAGCACAGCTGACATGCCGATACTGATACTGCAGAACTCAGGGCTGCTGCCGGAAGGAGTGAAGTTTCCGAAAAACTGCCCTTCACAACAGTTTGAAAGTCACTTTTGAACAGTCCTACCTCCCTCTGAGCTGTGGAACGTCTTCCCCTTGAAGTGCATGCTAATCTCCCTGTTTTCTTTCTTAAACTAATAAAAGATTAGAGTGACATTTTGAAAAGGGCATCTCATTAAGCAGCCTCGTCCCTATTGGAGCTGGGGCTCCTGCAGGAGTAGCCAGCTGGCCATTCATCTTACAGTAACGAGGTGTCATCGCCCCACAGGTTTGCCTTCCTCTCCTGCCTCTTACCTCCAGCACCACCTTTCTCCCTCCCGCCTGCCACTCCAAGAAAGGAACGGTGTGTCTGTTGGGGGGCCGGGGAGACGGGGCACCGATTACCCCGGCAGGGCTGGAAGCAGGTGGGCACACGTGGGGCCCGTGCACCGGAGGGACCGCGGGCCTTACCTGTACACCGTGGTTGGCGGGGAGCTCAGGCTGTCGTAGACGAGCCTCACGTGGCCTTGGTACAGCTCCAGTGCCAGGGGGTCGTTGTCCCCTTTGTAGAGAAGGATGCCGTTGTCCTTGTCTGTGGCCACCTGGAGAGAGGCATGTGGGTTAGGGCTCCCCTGAGGCCTAACCTCCCCACCCCGCCTCAGAGCCCTCTTCAGGTGGCATCTTCTGAACGACCCCTGGAATCCATGTCCCAATTTACCCCTCCGTTTAGACGGAATTCCCAGGAGTAAGGCCTGTACTTATACTCCAGCAAATGCTGATGGGGTCATTCAACTCTGCAAACATTTATCGAGCACCCATCCTGTTACGTTTAAACCTCCATACCTACCTGTCGGGGGCCCTGAGCTCTAACCTAGCCTCTCCCACTGATACGCAGCGTGATCCCACCCAAGTCCCTGCACCTCTCAGGGCCTCAGCCTCTCTGTATAAAGTGTAATAATAATTATAAACAAAATGCTGACAATTACCATTGAGTTCAGTGTTTCCTATGAACCGGGCACTGTGCTAAGAGTCATCTGGGGAATTGTTAAAAACACCAGTGTCTGGGCTTCACCCCAAACCAAGTACCCATGAGTCTCTGGGGGCGGGGCCCAGGAAAAGACAATCTGAGAAGGTCTCCATGTAATTCTAATATACGGCCGAGGCCGAGACCCACTGGTTTCAGGAGCTGCCGCCCGGAGGGCGCAGATTTGCCGGGAGCCCGGTTGCAGGGCTGGGTCCTCTGACTAGTCTGCCACCACCCGGCACAGGTGCAGCCTGAAGGAATGGGGAGTGGAGCAGGTAGTCTGATAGGACGGGGGTGTCTGGGTGCTGCTCTGGCCAGCTGGGACCCAGGGGGGTGGGACGGAGGGAGGGAGGCAGGAGGACGATGAGGACCCAGGAGTGGGCGATGGCAGCCAGAGCTTCCTCCTTGTTGGCGCCCAGGGCCAGCCTCCCCTCAGAGGCCCGCCCACTGGGCTGTAGGCCCCACAAGGTGAGGCAGTTTGAACTTTTTGTGCATTTCTGCAGCCCCAAAGGGTCTTTGTTGAATGAGTATTTTCTCCATAAGCTTAAGGCTGGGCTAGTGTGGCCATAACCAAAAGGAGGACACATGGCAGACACCACTAATTGGCCTGCACCCTCCACCTGGGTCTCCGGGGTTCCCCCTCCCCAGCAAGGCCCAGGCAATGGGCTTGGCCTGCCTTGTCCACTATTGAATTCTCACCGTCTAGCACAGTGTCTAGCATATCATAGTTGAATGACTATTTCCTAGAGCAATGAATGAATGAGGCTGGAAGTGGAGGGAGCTGGTAGCCGTGAGAGCTGGCCAGTTGTCGATGGAACCCTCTGGACAGAGCCAGCCCAGGTCCCCGAAGCTGTGGGGGAGGGGCAGGACCGCTCCGATCGGGGGCGTCCACGCTGCTGTCGGAACAATCAGAGCTCAGGGAGCATGGGCTACTTCCGAGGGCTGGGCGGGCTGGGGCGCACCTGCAGGGAGATGTTGGCCTGGGGCCGGACCTTGGCGGAGGCCAGTTCCACGTAGGAGTCCTTGCCCACAAAGTTGACGGTGATGAGCTTCTCACACCGAGGGCCGGCGAAGCCCGGCGGGCAGCGGCAGGCAGGCTCCTGCTGCACCACGATGCACTGGGCCCCGTTCTGGCACTCGTACTGGTCGCAGGGGCTGGTCTGCAGCAGGACCATGGGCGGGGGGTGCTCGCAGAAGAGCCCGCTGGAAACGGGGGAGAGGAGACCAGTCATTTCCGCCAAAGAGCCCCTCGCAGGGAGGAGGGAGCGAGATGGGAGTCAGGACTAGGTTCAGGGCGTGGCGCCAGCCCTGCCGCTAGTGGGGGCAAGTCTTCTTCCTTCTCCAAGCCCCAGCTCCCCCGTTTTGGAAATAATCGGGCTGGATTACAGCTCCGTTCCCCTGTGTCGTAAGAATCACCTAGGATGAACTCGTTAAAAGTGCAGATTCTCATCCATGCACAGATGAATGGACACACAAAATGTGGTCTGTACACAAAATGAATTATTCAGCCTTGAAAAGGGAGGGAATTCTGTCACGTGCTACAGGATGAACCTCGGGGACATGACGCTCAGAGGAATAAGCCAGTCACAACAAGATGTGATATGATTTCACTGATATTAGGTCAAGTTTGTCGGGACAGAAAGTAGAATGATAGGGTGTCAAAATTTAATGGGTACAGACTTTCAGTTTTGCAAGATAAAAAAAAGCTCTGGAGGGTGTACAGCAACGCAAATGTACTTCATGCCACTGCACTGTACACTTAAAAATGACCAAGATAGTACAGTGTGTGAACATTTTACCCCAGTTTAAAAGTGTTATAAAAAGTGCAGACCCCAGCCCCTCTGCTCCACCCCCCAATTCTAACTCAGCAGCTGTGGGGTGGGGCTCGCAGGCCTCTGATGAGGATGGTCTCAGCCAGGCTTTGGAACCACCGGTCTGGAGAGCTCGGGCTCCCTCCAGGGTCTCATTCCCAGCCTATGACCACGGCTCGCTTGCCTGGCTGGATTTATGCCACCCAGTGAGTACTGATGTACACAAAACTGCCGCTGGTCTGACCCCCGCTTCCGTGTGGTCCCTGCCTCCCGTGCAGTCACCCCTGTGCCCTTCCCTTCCAGTCAGTGTGGGAACCAGAGCTGGAAGCCAGGCCTTTGCCTCCGCTGACCATCTGGCCACTGCCTCCCATCTCCGCTTGCTCTCTTGGCATCACTGAGTCCAGTGAGCAACCCCAGTCCCTTCCGTTCACCTCCACTGTCCTGCCACTGAGCACCATATTGTTTTCGTTCTGTAGCCAAGAAAGACGATTCCTGCCGGTGTGGCCCTGGGGCTCCCCCACCCTGCAAGCTGTGCCCTGAGGGGGTGGCATGTCCCATTCCATAGAATCGGTGCCCAAGTGTGACATGATGGGAGCTGGACCTCACCTCCCATGTGGAGGTACCTGGGCAGGTCTTCTCTCAGTCTACAACATGGGGTTCCCAACACCTGCGCGGGGACTTGGGAGGGCTGAGGAAGGTGTGGGGGAAAAAGTGCCTCGGAGACGCAGGGCTGGGGGCGCTGTGGCCCACTGGTCACCAGCACGCTGGCCCCTGGCATCTGGCCCAGATGGCACCTTCCTGAGGGCCCGTCTACATACCTGAAGCCCTGGGGGCAGACGCACGTGTAGCCATTGACCGCGTCCAGGCACTGGGCCCCATGGCGGCACCTGTGGGCCACGCAGTCGTCACTGTCCACCTCGCACAGCTTCCCGCTGTAGCCAGGGGCACACTCGCACCTGGAACACAGCAAACCCGGCTGCTCCACAGGCTGTCCCGGCGGCCGCGCCTTCCTCCTCTGCACCCAGGCTCCTAGCTCCCCCTCAAATGCCACAGGCTCCGCAAAGGCTGGCCCCCCAGTCGCTGTCACCGGCTGTCCGCAGCCTCTGGTCCCTGCACTTCGACTCTGCCTGCCTCCCACGAGGCACCTTGTTTGCAGGAGCCAGGCTGAGCACACAGGCTGGGACTCACTGAGATTTGGGCTGGACCCACCACTTTCTAGAGCTAACAGGTTTTCACTGCCAGAAAGCGGTAACCCCGAGTGTGGCTCGGGGTTTCAAACTTGATCATACCTGGATGCCTACTAGACTCTTCTTTGGACAGATTTATGAGTAATTCCTAAGACTTACAGGCCTACAATATAAAACAACAAATTTCCATGCAAAACAATGTACCGCTTAAGACGGAAGTTAAGTCATTCCATGTAGTGGACGTCTTAGGACCGTGGTTCTCAAAGAGAACCAGCACTAGCATCACCTGGAAACTTACTAGAAATTCAGACTCTTGCATCCCACCCCAGGCCCAGGGAATAAGAAACTCTGGGGGTTCCTGGGGGGGAGGACTCAACAACCTGTGCTTCATCAAGCCCACC